GAAGGCAATATCTACACGTTGAACCCACACAGCGCGCTTGTTTGTCTCGAATTGAGTCGTTGCGCAAAGCGCCCCAAGAACGTTTTGACCCTGACTCGCGATGTCCTGCATCGATGCGCTCGGGCTCTTTTTCTCTGTTTAGCTTGTACCTCGCCTGCCGGCCTTGCAAGCACGCGCCGCTGGACTGTTTACCCTCGCATGCTGGGCAGTTACATTTTACATACATTTTTGGAATCAGTTGACGACGGAGTGTGGTTTCGATCGAACAGGACGTCTCCGCTCGCACGACAAAGCACGTGCAGCTGCAAGCCTGCGAAGTTGCTCTGTCGTGCATGCAAACATGATTGCACGACAGAGGCAGCAGCCGGGACGCTTGCAATCCACTGTTTTACATTTACTTTTGACGAAAATCTGGCTCGTCGGAAATCAGTAAAACGGTGGCAAGCGGTCTTTCAGAATTGCTCGGTAGCGCGTACAGCACTGTGCACTTGTGGGACCTCTCAATGTCTCTTTGGAGACATTGAAAGTGGACATTCATTACTAGCCTAAGTCAGAGTGAAGCCTGCAGTAGCTTTGCAGAAAGTTTCGAAAAGCAAAAAATACCCGCTGGTTGTAATGCACCTTTTTCTTGTTTGCAAATTCGCATTGCACTGCAGTAGCTTGTGTTTCATCAGTCGGAGACTGCTTACATTTATTATATAATATCACTAGTCAACCTAATGCTGTGATATTTACTACTGAGCTGGTCATTTTAAAAGAAATTTTAATATGTGCAGTTTGGTTCTTATTTACCTATAGTGGGTACATATGTATGTATCATTTAACTGAAGCATTGCAAAATATCTCATGTCATTGACATTTCAGTTACACCTTGAAAGACTCCTGGTTGGTCGAACTTGACCTTAATTCGTTTATTTCGGCGAGCAAAGTGCCCTTCGTTTGTCCAGCACTTGAAATGAATATATTTATTTTCCTAAGAATATCTCCTCCGAAAGCCACTTTTGGTGCTCCGAAGCACTGCTTTGGCTGCTCCAACAGCCCCTTTTGCTGCTCCAAAACATTGTTGTGGCTGCTCCAAAGGCCACTTTTGCTGCTCCAAAACACTGTTTTGGCTGCTCCGAAAGGTGCTACAAAACGGCTTTGGCCAATCACATCACTGCAATCGTCCAGAGAAGTACCCTAAGTGGTTTTCCAAAGATTTTCGATATTACTTCAGGTTAAAATTACATTACCACAGATTATATAAAAAAACGAAGCTTGGCTTAGGTATGAAAAATTTACCATCTGTCGTGAAGTAACAAAAAAGCTGCTTGCTAGCAACCAAATATCACTACCGCGGACAATTGGAGCGTAACCTGAACAAGCGACCAGAAGAATTCTGGCGCTATGTGAAAAAGCACACCACGAAGGACTCTTAACAATATATCACTGAGCAACGGTTGTTATTGAAACGTCCCCAAAATCTGTTTGTGAGTTGTTTTCGCATCATTTCAGCTCATGCTTTTTTAATGCCACCACCCCTTTACCCGTGACATGTAATACTACTTTTGATGACTATTTACCCTTTACTAGATTTACAGTTCACAAAGTGCTTTTAGCTATTGGAAAGTTGAATTCTAAACTGTCCACAGGTTCAGATGGTATTCCCAACATTGTTGTAAAAGGATGTGCCGAATGTTTTGCTCCTGTTCTTGAAAAAGTGTTCAACTTGTCTATACAGAATGGTATCTTTCCAGAAAAATGGAAATATTCGATAGTCGTCCCAATTTTCAAGTCGAAAAATTCTTGTGATGTTAGTAATTATCGTCCTGTTTTCCTTCTCAATGCATTTTCAAAGGTTTTTGAGAAGCTAATGTAAAATCGTCTGTATAATTATTTTAAAAGAAAGTTTGTTCTTGTACGGCAGGGTTTCGTCAAAGGCAGATCCGTCGAGACAAATCCGTGCACATATTTAAATTTTGCTTTTCCAATTATTCAGTGTCGGGGCCAAGTAGACACAATATATCTGGATATGTCCAAAGCCTTTGATAAGGTCAATCGAGAGTGCTGTTGTTGAAACTCTGGGACTATGGCCTCAGTCCTGGGTACAATACCTGGTTTAGGAGTTATCTTCATAAAAAGCAGAACTGTGTAAGGGTATCTGACTTCTTGTCTTGTCCATTTATTTCTGTGTCGGGAGTGCCTCAGGGCTCGAAACTTGGGCCTTTGTTGTTTCTTATTTTTATAAATGATTTGGTGTCGTCTGTAAAACCCTCTCAATTACTTATGTTCGCAGATGACGTGAAGTTGTTTCGGGAGGTCACCTCAATCACTGACTGTACTTTGCTGCAGGACGGTCTTCATTCAGTGGTAGAATGGTGCAGTTCTAACAATCTTTTCTTAAATCCGCGCAAAACAAAAGTCATGTCGCTGTCGAGAAAGCGTCACAATTTATCCTATGTATATGTTCTGTAGAATGAAACGATCTGTCAGACCACGCAGATGCGAGACCTAGGTGTACTTGTGGACGACCACCTTTTTTTCCTTTCTCATGTAAACTCCATTTTTAGCCAGTCATTACGCACGCCAGGCATAATGTCTCGCTTGACTGGACCATTTATCACTCATCACTGTCTTTTGAGATTATATAGTACACATGTGCGTTCGAAACTAGAATTTGCATCTGTAGTCTGGAACTGCATATCTATACCCAACAAACCACTGGATGTCCATTGGACATCTGATGGATATCCGCTCAAGATATTCAGACGTCCCCAGGAGATCCGTAGCTGTCCGACGGACGTCCCCAGGACATCCGTCAGAGTGCCAAAGGTAACAAATTTGCGTGTCCGTCGGACATCCGAAATGGGATCCTTCTGCAGGCCAATTTCGGATATTCGGATGGCACGCCTGAATTCACTCTACTTTAGCCCAGATATGTTGTAAACCAGTCAAAGCACTAACCTGAGCCAATTTCTACTGGGCAGAATTTCTTCGGATATGCCGTGAACATCCGATAGAGATCCGATTCAGATATATCAAACATCCGTGGGACATCCGTATACGTCCGACGAACATCCCCAGGACATCCGACAGAACGCCAAAGCAAACAAAATCGCACATCTGTTGGACATCCGAAATGGGATCCATCTGCAGGCCAATTTCGGATATTCCGGGAACATCCGATAGAGATCCAATTCAGATCCACCGAACATCCGCGGGACATCCGGCGAACATCCCCAGGACATCCGACACAGTGCCCAAGCAAACAAAATTGCACATCCGTCGGACATCCGCAATGGGGATCCCATTGCGGATGTCCGACGTACATGCAATTTCGTTTTTTAGATGGCATGCCTAAATCCGTTCTACTCTCGCCTGGATATGCTGTAACCAGTCAAAGGACGACCCTGAACCAATTTATATTGACAATATGGTTTTATTACTACACTCGTGTCCTATCCATACAGGTGCTTCTAGTGGCCCTACTCTTTATTCATCTCGGAGGTTGGTGTTCAATTTTTACGCATTGGGAAACCATCTTGCCCTGTGTCATCTTGCAGCTGTTTTTCATGGCCCTAACAAAGAACCAAAGAAGGTATCAGTACGGGAAATTTCATAGTACATCCAGAAAGTACCTGTAATTGTGTGGCATACTGTAAGGTGACAATCCCCGGCGTGGGCGAAAACAAGTTGGAGACAGTATCGGTATGAGTGAACATAAATTTTGCAACACTTGGAAGTTACCTGTTGCTGAGTAGTGTAGTGTAAGCTGTTCGTCCCTGGCATGGCAAGGTCATTTCTGCACCAAGGTGAAGAGATGAGTGCACGCAACTTTTACACCAGTATCGGAACGTACCTGTAGCTGAGTGACATGGTTTAAGGTGCTACTCCCTGGTGTGGTGGGTAGCCCTTGCTACACCGCATGGACCTAACAAATCAAGTTGAAGAACGTATGAGTGCAGACAAATTTCACGACACTTTTAAAGCCTTTTAGTAGCCGACTAGCATAGTGCAAGGTACTAACTGTTTTACCATAACATGGCAAAGAACAAACGCTGCAGCCCCGCAAGACAGTCAGAGGGAGTTGCATCACAATGTAGCCGTCGTGCATTCCTCCCGTGGAGTGTTGTCATGTACTTTGCTCTGTCACTTTAATTGGCTCACGGGGGCCATAGTTTTCGCCCTTAGCCATGTTATGGTGAAGCGGAGTGTACTATAAAGGCGCATTCCCACTGGCGATGCGATCTAGTCGTGCGATAACTTTCATTGTAAAAGCGACGCGATTTGACCAGTCGCTACTCGGTCCGACTTTTTTGCGATGCAATCTAGTTGCGGAGCGGCTGAGCCAATCAACGGCGTTCAAAGCAAGAGTTTTCGAGAAGCGATTCGCCAACGAAGGCGTTGGACTCGCTCATCGCGCACGCCGGTGGACTCGCTCATCGCGCGACTGCTTACATCGCCGGTGGGAATGCGCCTTAAGAGTGGTAACTTGGGCGAGTTGGTGATGCATTACAACCAAAAAAAGTGGAAAAATTGGATGAAGGACGAGTGAGGAATGTAAGCGACAAGCGCTGACTTGCAACTGAATTTTTATTTGGAAAAAACATAAAACCCCCTCGAACCACCAAAACATGAAACACCGCCAATCTTATCAATGTGATTACAATATTGCTTCGTAACGGTGTCCTTACGAAGCAATATTATAATCACATTGATAAAATTGGCAGTGGTTAATGTTTTGGTGGTTCGAGGGTTTCATGTTTCTTCCCAATAAAAATTCAGTTGTAAGCCAGCGCTTGTGTACATTCTTCTCACACGTCCTTCGTCTCATTTTTGCACTTTTTTGGTTGTAACAGAGTGTAGTCTTTGCCGTGGGGAGCTCATTCCTACACCTCGTTACCCTAACAAAACCATTTGAAGGGATGAGTTCAGACAACTTTCATTAAGTAAATTTTACCATATTTGCCACACAGTTTGACCTTCAGGGAAATATTAAAGATGTTTATACAACACTGGTTCCATACTTAAAAAATAGGCACAAAATACAAGCCTTTGAACTGTAATTTTGTGACTAATTACCAAAAAATGTTGCTTCACAGCTCTGGAAACAAATAGGCACATATAACAATGTTCAAACTTGCCTTGTACACGACTTGACTGGTAGTAAAAAAGGATAGCACATTTCATAGTAGAAATTACCAGGGGCATTTTTATGGTCAATTGGCTCCGTTAATGCCTGCTCACTGGCCTTTCCTGAAAATACAAAAAAAACAATGGGTTCAATTAAAAGTCAAAAATAAATTTGTTATCAAAAGTGGAGTGCCACTCAAATACAAAAGCAGAGCATTAAATGTACTTGCGCACCTTCTTTCCCACAAATCCACAGTAGGCCATTTCCTGCCATCTATGGAGTGCATCCAGTGTACGACGAGGCACCAGGGAAGTGATCTGTGCAAGCAAATTGAACATACCCATGTTGAAATTACGCTCTTAAATTGCATCATACTGTAAGCCCCGTAATCATCTGGGTGCACTTTGGAGTGATTGGACTAGAATGTGCTCTGCAAGAGGACAGACGTGCATCCATTTTTCAGAGGTAGGATATATATAGCGATGTAATCATGAAACTGCCAAAGTGCAGACATGATGGTGTGCCTTCATGTGTGTGCAGATAGCATATAATCAACATCAGAGTTTATGTATGGTATTATATTAACAACATATATCTGAATCAGGGATTGGCAGTATTTCAAATACAAGTATTTGAAATACGTATTTTAATACTTTGTGTATTTTGCATTTGTATTTAATTACAAATTGGGTAATGTATTTGACGTGTGTATTTAAATACTAAAACGTGGGTATTTCAAATACAATAGTAATTAAGTACAATTTTGTGGCCGAAAATACATCCCTCAAATTTATGTCACTGTCCAGAGCAGGAAGAAAACTACGTTCTGCATCGAATGCAGTGTCTCTCAATCAAGCACAAGCGTTCAGTGACTTTGCGATTACGGTGCTAGTCCAGGGCAAGAATAGTGACGAAATTAACGTTCACAGGCTGGCTGGCTAAATAAGTGCCTGTGACAACTTGTGATGCTTTCCAGCCTGATTTCCATCCATATTTTTCTTGGAACATACTAAACCGGAAGGGAGGCGGGGGAGTGTGTTTCTGTGTGTGGGGGGGCGGTTAGGGGAGGGAGCCGCGAGCCGCACTTTAGCACGCGAATAGCCGCATGCGGCTCGCGCTTGGCCACCCCTGGTCTATACCAAAATTTATAATCCACAAAAAAAAGCTGCTTGAAGCTCTGTATTTTTTTTACCTATTACGTCCAAGCTGATTAGATTTTTTTTGTCATTATATTTCTATTACGTTACTAGAGCCTCGCACACTAACTCCCGAGTGTGCGATGCAAAATTAAAATGAGATACCCAGAAACCCGTTGCAGGTGCCCTGAAGTCGCTGACGCAAATTTTGAGGAATGTATTTGGAAAAGTATTTGGAGGAGACCAAATACATTTGACTGTATTTGTATCTTGTACTTAAATGCTTTTTTGGAAATGTAATTAGATTTGTAATTAAATACATTTTTGACGAAGTATTTTGTATTTGTATTTCGATACATATTTGCATGTATTTTGCCCATCTCTGTATCTGATTAATTGAGAATCTTTAATTTTACTGAGCTAAACACTGCGCACTATGCACCTGCTTGAGATCCACTGTAGGAATGCAAATACGCTATAGGCGCCCTTTCACATTTTGCTTCTGCAGACTCGAGTCCAGCACCAAACTATGCCCCATGCAAGCACACATTGACCTACCATGATCCACTTCATTCTAAACGCGAGGCTTTCAGCGCCCCTGCCAAGCGCGAGCGTGCAGTGCAAGCAAAGGTTCAGGGGAACATGCTTTTGCTAGTAGCTTCGGCTTCATTTGCACGCGAAGTGAAACAAACATTAGTAGCTTCGATCAAAGCCATTCAAGTGTAAACAAAACACGAAAAAAAACAAAAAACGACTGAACTTAGGAGAGCAAATCCCTTGGTCTACTTTATGACTAAAAAAAAAAGCCTGACTGAGGAACACATATAAGGGGAAAAACACACACGGCCCCCAACATTGCTGGAGTTCTAGCCGAACTCGCTTGCAGCCAAGAGACCAAGCAGCCCTCTGACACCGTACCCGAGCTGTTCGGCGCGGACTTTAGACGGCGCGGCGTCAGGTCCACACCGACGACACAGCACCGCCCTCACATTCTCAGGCGTCAAAAACACGAACTGTCCACTGTCTCTGAGAACAGCCCAACGCCTAACTTCCATGCTCGGCCGTGCTCGATGAAATGGAGAATAGTGGCGAGCCGGAGGCTCTCAATCACCGGTCCTAAATGGAGACTCGCACTTGCTTGCTTGCACAGACTTGAGAGCGGCTCATTCGTGTCCGCTCGCCTTTGAGCCTTAAATTTTAAAAGTGAAAATAACACTCGCGAAAAGAGAAAGCGAGCGCGGTAGCAGGATAACAGCAGAGACAGCGGCTGGCGGGCCGAAAAAGGCGCCATTGCCTAGAATAATTCTGAAGTAAATCCGTATGAAGCTTTTCCTGATATTTCCAGATATTAGCTATTTATTTATAACTATTTCTTTTACAACTCAATATAAAATGTTGCTTAATTTATTTTGTTAGTAACTTCTTAATATTTAGGGTCTACGCGTTTACTTTTAATTTTTCTCATTTACTGCGGAGATGCACACCTCCGAAGCCAGGGAAGTGCAGCCTCCAGTTTCCTCCTATCATCGCGAGGACACTAACGACGCGGCGCGTTGCGGCAGAAGGGCAAACTAAGTAGCGTGTTGGTGCGGCACTCGCAACTGATGGCTCCGGTACTCGCCACAGATGGTATGGGAGGCTCCTACAGATGGTGTACCCTCCAAACACACTCAACCACCGCCCGGCCAAAACGGTGCCCCCCTCTCGATCTTCTTCTTTTCTCTTTTTCGTTTTTTTCCGATCGAGTTGTTTTGGCGTATGCTTTGCGCGAAGGCACTGAGTTACCCCTCCCACTTAGTAAGGGCTGCTTTGTGCAAAAAAGAAAGACGCGGATTGTGCTTTTGTAGTGGAGCACTACCGCAACTGAAGCGGTAATACTAAAAAATTGGAACCACCACTAAGTCGACGTTTCGAACCTGCTGCGCAGCACCGCTAATGAGATTTTTTTTTTTTTGTTTCCCATGCCGTGCAGTTATCATTTGAAGTTTTGAACGCTGTAATGCAGCATATTCGTTTCTCTTACCAGAAGTAAAAGAGAGCACATCACTTCCTCCCGGAATACCGCGATTCCGCCCAGTAATCGCAAACCAAAATCTAACTATTTCCCAATCTGCAGCCACGTATGGCGGCAACGAGATTTTAAGTAATTTGAAACGTAAAAATACTTTTAAAAGTGTATTCAGTACCCTAGCTGAAATGCGGGAGAGGTGACTGTCAGAAAAAGAGAACCAGATAGGGCATAGGTAACAAAAATAAATGAGTCTTACTCAACAAAATAATTATAGCTAAAAATCTTTGAAAACAAACAGAACAAAGGGACCACTATAAAGAATGTTTTTAGAATAGTAAAACACATTAAGTTACATCGCCAATCCCAACCGAGAAAAGAGAATATATTTGGAAAACGTTTGAAGAAACAATCGATCCATCGCAATACGTTTCTCTAATTAACCGACAAAATAAGAGGGAAAAAACTTCAACAGTCGTCCGAACAAATCATGAAAATCAATTTTGGAGCGATGTATGGCCCGGGGATAATAACAAACTTTTTTTCAACTACGAGTTTATGTGATCAGAAGTATTTGTAATGATAATGTGGCACATGAACAATCAAGTTTCTCAAAGGTTGATCAGTAAATCATTTGAATTTCAATTTCTCATGTTGTCACAAATGCGGCTAGGATTCCGCGTGTTTTCGGAGTTTATTTCTCGTGAAGCCAAAGGGTGTTTTTTTTAAGTTTATTTTTCGCTGATAATTCTGGGTTTATCAGAGTTTATTTTTGTCAAATTCTCAATCTTTTAAATTCGAATTTAATTCGCCTGTGTTGTTATAATTGGAAAAAAACTTCAAAAGCAAAATAAAGTCCGGATACCATGACCCACTGTCTTGAAGGAACCTCACAGGGCAAACTCCTTTTGTGAGTAGTTCTACGTACATATTTCAAGGGAAACTGAGGTGGCATGCCCTATGGACCAGTGACACTGTGCTTATATAAATATTTTTTGTAAAACACCGTCTTTTTTTTCTGTCGTTTTGATTTCGAAATTTTGTGTTTTTCAGAAAAATCCTTATCGACGGAAAATGTACCGACTGAGTAAGACCGAGAGAGACCAGACCGGTTTTTAAGCCTCTTGCGACTTCTTAAGATCGGGTGCGCTGCAGCGGAGCTGGTCTTAAGAGATTGCAAGGGGCTTAAAAACCGGTCTGTTAGACAGTAGACCGCAGTATATTTATAGCGTATTTCAGCATTAATTTATGCTGCTTTGCGCGTGTGTGTTAGAATTTGATTTCGGATATTGCCGTTATTTCATTTCTTTCTCCAAGTGCTCACTGTGGGGCTGATAGTATTGTCAAATAAATAAATAAAACAATAAATATAAAAAGGGTATAAATAAGAAATATCTCAACAACAGGCATGTTTGAATGCTTCCAGTAATTGATTACATAATTTTTAAGAAGCGTGTAAAATACCTTAAAACGTTTCTCGTAATAAATACTATTTAAAAACTGACACACATGGCTTCAAGGAGAAATCAACTACAAAAACTTTTTGGACGACTTCGTTTCATAAATGAAACTGGGTAATGCCGTTATTTATACTAGATATCAGAAAACTAAATGAAAGTGTGTCATAAAATACTATTAAATGGATCGCATGCAGTCTTCAAGATTTAGAGTGAAAGCATTATACTGGTTCACAACTACCCTGAAAACCGAAATCAGACTACAGAAATAACAAAAAACAAATTGAGCAAAAATATTTAGTCAAACTAGGTGTCCCCCAGGGCACTTTTAAAGGACAGGCATTATTTAATTTGTATATACAGATGATATTTTTATGTAAACAATTCGTTTTCAGTGTATCTAAAACACTGCATCTGACTAAAGACGGCCGCTCTTTGTGGGAAGCATTCCCCGAGGGGAAGCTTGTTCCCGGAACTGGCCGCTGTCGCTCCCCCCCTCCCCCTCCCCTCTTCGCGATCTTGTCTTTCCAGTCTTTCCCGGTGGGCGCAGCAGCTTTTGTTTCTCAACCGCGCATGTTACTCGCTGCACGGACCCCGCGGGCCACTTGTCGCCGAATGGGCGGTCGCGGTCTCCGAGTGGTAGCAATGTTCTGGCTAGAACATCGAGTTTTCCGCTGACGGCTCACTTTTACTACACAAGACAGTGTGTAGCTCAGTAGCAGTTAATTCGAGCGCGTTGTTATAATGAATACTTAAAAACGAAAGAATAAAAACATAAAGGACGTACACGTGTGGTCGTTCGTGTAAGTCTTTTATGTAATCATTCTTTCTTTTTGAGCTCAGTAGGTTTGAATATCATTCATTCAACGCTGGGCGAACTTCTGGGCGAGTGAAGGCGAACTTCACTGACAAGTGCCACATTAGGGACATGATTAAAATAGTAAGAACCAACTAGCCCAAACAAAAGTCGTTTTACACATTAGGGAGTTGTCGTAGATGGTTTCCGCTGGCCCGCAACGTTCTCCACTCAGCAACCCGCTACGAGATCTGAGACTCTGTAGGCAAGGCTAGCGCCGCGGATGCACAACGTCTTCGTTCCGGAGAGCGTAGAGGAAGTGAGAGAACAGTCTACGAAAACTCTTTATTCTTTCCCCCAACTCAGCTGTCTGTTAACCCCTACTTTTCTCTTCTTCCTTTTTTTTGTCTACGTTTTAGGGTAGGGCTGCTGATGGAAAATTGTCGTTTTCTATTTACTTTGTTAGTTTGTTTTTCGCGAGCGGTGTCCAGGCCACGACCACCTCGATTCCTCAAAGGGATCGGGAAGCCGCGTCAGGGCCTCGCTTTTAGTTTGTATCTTCTGTGCTTTCTAGCAGCTCAGTTATCGTTTCCCTTCAGCACGTGTAACATGATCCTTCTCCCTCTCTCTCACACTGCATCGGCCCACAGAGGGGTCTCATCCAAGTGGAGAGAACCCTGGGAGCGTCAATGGCCTGTGGTCTGACTGACCCTCAACAGGACCGCGCACGGACGCTATGAGCCATTGGAGTCATTCCAAAGGGAAGAAGGCGTGACTTTCCGGTCGGGCACAACGAGGGCAGCGACGTGTTTTGCCCATTTGTCGCGTCATACTTTCTCAGCGTTGCATTGGCTCCGATGGTTCGTAGAGTCCGCTTCAGTCCATTCTAAGATCGCGGGGAAAGGACGGCCACAGATCAACACGTTCAAGAGAATGCACTCTTGGGTAGAGAGGAAAAGCTGAGTGAGACGTGAGACAGAAGTAAAACAAAACCAAGGAAGCATCTTGTAGAATTCAGCAGCAAGCGTACCGCTATGAAAGAACGACCATCTTGTCCGGTGCCTCGTGATGAACTGATTTTATATGACATAGAAAAGAAGAGAAGAAAGCAGATAGGTTTTTTTAAAGTGAGATATGTAGGACAATCAATAGAAGAAGAAGTGAAAGAGAAATAACAGAACACAACATTTTCCCCCCTCCCCTTTTGGAGAGAAGACGGGTATACAAGATGCACATAACAAAGCCAGTCATAGATATTATACATACAAAACAAAGATGCACGAAATCATAATTCAAAAGAAATTCAAGTTAGGCATTCATTATCACACTTGGCCTATGCTATTTTTAAAACATTCGCACTCAACACTCATACTCCTTACACAATATCTCAAATAACACCCTCAGAAAGTTTTTTTTACAGAATTCCAGCAAGTTATTTACCAAACTATGGCAAGTTATTTACAGAATTCTAGCAAATAATTTCACTACGGATAATAAGCGTTAAAGAAATATGTAAACTTCTCTTCCCCCCCAAGACAAATATAGACAACTGTCATGTCTGTCAACGTGGGTCAGAGACTCACATCTCTAAACCGCACAGGTGGTCGGCGAGTTCTTCCACTGGGGGAACGGAAACTGCCACTGGAGGAATAGTAGCATC